GGTGGTGCAGCCTTGAAGTTTCTGTGGTGTCTTGGAAACTGATACTACCCTGCATGTGTCTTGTTCTCGCAGCCTCTCTTGAGGAATAGGAGAGTGAAATTTCGTCGACAAACGCATCATGTATTGGCTTGATTGAGGACAAATTTTGAGGAGAGGATGTTATTGGGTCAGGCGGGGTCAAATAGGTCTCGGGTTGAGAAAAGGAACATGAAGTAATGCATGAAGCTGTGTGAATGAGACCCTCTGATGTTGTTGGCATCACATGGTGAGGAGGCAATCTTCCGAGTGACTCAGACAGATGTGGTGGCTCTTCCCAACCATTTGAGGGGCTCGAAGCATCGGGAAACTGGGCGGAGGGGAAGTGAGGCTCTTCGAGGTGGACAAATCCAGATAAAAATGACTGATTCGATTGGTATTGCAGTTGGTGAAGTCGAAGTGACGACTCAAGATTGAGCGAAGTCTGAGGAGGCTGAAGGAGTGTATGAGGGCTTGGCTGTTTTGTTTGAGATGCCGCTGTCGGTTGCTGAGCTGGCAGAGTTTGAGTGAGATGGGGAAGAGGGAATTGAAGAGGGGGATACGGCTTGGCAGATGGGGAGGAAGGTAGATGGGTTGAAGTGTACGGAGTTGAAAAGGAGTGCGATGGGGACAGATGCGAAACGGAGGGAGAAACAGAAAAAGCCTGTCGAGAGGGACTTGATGTCTGCAGCGGGAGTGACCCATAAGCCGACCGATCCGTCTGATCACGAATGTACCAGCTAGAAGGATCAGCTGGGGAGTATTCCGACCTGCAACTGCCGACAGACAACTCCACGGGGGCTAAACTGGCCGACACAATTGCCACTTCGGGCCCCGGAGGAGCCGATGAGGACACTGACGAAGGAGATGAGGGTCCGGCCGGCGTCCAGAAGGTGTAGAGATTTTCGGTCTCTGGAGAACCGAGGCTTGAACAGCAGGCGGAAGGACTGGCTCTGGTCGGGCCAGTCTGAGGCCAGTTCGAGCAGAGGCGATCAGAGTTGGTTGACCAGACTTGTGGCAAGTGGTCGCAGATAAAATTCATACTTGACTGTGTTTTTGTCTATGTAATCGTATAGAGGTAGTTGGTAGCATTTGCAAATATGTGTTTGCGTTTGCGTGTATATGTGAATAAAAGAGGACATGAAGAGGGAGCAAGAAAATGGTTAAGTAACTGTTTTCATCGTAAACT